AACTGAGTGTTAGAAAGTTTAGGGAAAATGTTCCAGTGCCTTAAAAAATGAAGAAAAACAATTCTTTTTAGCCAAGTGTATATTTATTGCTGCTTCTGCCAACATGCCCCTTCTTCCTCCTCTGTCAGTTTTCTGTCCCGTGTGTCTCTCAGAACATTCTCTCTAATAACTTTAGTGCTTATTCTCTCATTAAATTTCACTTACTGCGTTAAGAAGTTATTTTTTAGTTCATTGCTTATTTTCCTTGTGTTTTTGTTCCTAAGATGGTGGAATCATCCCCTAATTTTCTTTCCTTTGAGTGATATATGCCTTTTACTCTGCATTGTAATTTTGTCACTGAAGTCGTGCAGTAGCACACACATAACCCTGCTCTTCAGGGACAATTGTGTGGCAGCATTCTGAAGGCTGTCATCAAATCTCTTGCCTGCGTTTTCAGTGTTGATGAATATTAATGTTATTTACAAATGCAGTGGTTGAATTTCATTCAGTGGGAGGCTTCCCCCCCCCCTTTGAATAAATTCTGACTTCATCAACAAATATAAATTCTCCACAGTTATTTTTTTTACACGTAGAAAATATTGAGTATCCCTGGTTTCATTCTGAGCAATCATTGAGTTTGAAGGCCTGAAAAAAATTTTTTTGGTTTTGTTTTCAGGCCACACCCAGCAGTGCTTATGAACTACTCAGAGTTCTGGGAATGGGCAGGGTGGCGGGGGTTATTCCTGGCAGTGCTCCAGGACCACTGGGTGCCAGCCCCTTGAGCTGTCTTTCTAACCCTGGAAATATTTTTGGCTACCTTTTAGGTGTGAAGATGGGTAATGTTTATTTTTGACTCTAGAATTTTGAATTTACCAGTGTCTCTGTCAGCATCATATGTAAAGGGCAAAGGTTATATATATTTTTTCATATGTAGGAGTACTGCTATTTATTCAGCCACTGATTAGCTGATTGAATTGGGCATGAACTCCATGCAAAGGTTATATTTTTTAATTGAAGAATTGGGGCCGGAGAAATAGTACTGTAGGTGAGATGCTTAACTTGTACACAGCCAACCTGGGTTCTATCCCAGCACCATGCATGGTTCCCCGAGCAGCACCAAGAGTGTTTCCTAAATACAGATCCAAGAGTAAGCCCTGAGCACCACTGGATATTAGCCCCAAAACAAAACAAAAAAAGATTGAAGGGTTGATTCATGGGGAGCAAGGATGGATTTTTAAGCAGTACTGTGTAAAGTGCCTGAGTATATATGACCCTCTCAAATTTGATGAAATGGGTGATTCTGAATAGAACGCAAGCAAGTTGAAAACGCAAGCAATTGAGCTGAAGCAGAGACACTTAGCACCAGTATCCAGTTAGGGCGGCCAGTGCCTTGTTGTATCTGGAATTCCTTTTGAGAGATGCTTTCTAAATATTTGTGTGAGAATTTGATGGTACTCAAGTCAAGAATTGATTGATTGGAGGAACGGAGGCTTTCCTTCCCTCTCTTCATCTCTCTCCTGTATTGATCAAGGCATAGGACTTGGAATGGTGAGATAGGAGGACCACAGCCGATGTTCTGTTGAATCGCACCCATGCACGTCTGTTTTTCCCTCTGGGATCGGTCTCACTGTCCTGTGAACATGCCAGTAGTATTGCTGAGTGTCACAGTATTGAACATTGCAGCTACCTATCTCAGGAACCGTGACTTGCAGTGTCAGAGTCTCTGTGAACTCTTCTGCCTGAACAAGCCCTGATGAAACCTAGTGATGCGAATATCGGGAATCTGAGGCTTGGAATTACGTGCTGGGTTGATGGAGCAGCTCCTGACAGATGGATTGAAGGGGGCGGGCCTAGCCATTCTGGACGCCTGGCACATTAGGCTATTGTTTATACAAAATAGATTGAGGAAAGAGGAGAAGGCATTATTAACTTTCTTGCCTTCTTCTACCTTCATTCCTGACAACTTTTTCGTTTTCGTTTCCTTTGTTGTGTTTTTCCTACCTCTTATTAACAGTGAACTGTGAAAGGCCGATTTGTGAGACTTAGCCTTTTCTCAAAGCCTTGGGGATATTGTTCTGGGATTATTAACCATGTTTACAAGTTTCCATGATATCAGGAAAAAATGGAAAATAACATTTTTTTTTATTCCAGTGTATCCTTAAGTTTTGACCAGCAGAAGTCATGTTTTGCAGTCAAAAAAAACTAATACAAGTAGAGACTTACTGGCTGTGCTTGATACCACAGCTAGGATTTATGAAATATCATAACTGATTCTCTTTGCTACCTCCCAGAACTGCTCGCCAGATCAGGGAACTGCAGAACTTAATGTGAGGGTTACATTTGCCAGAGCTACGAGACCGAACTAGAGCAAGGCTGAACTCTGGGACTTAGACAAACCCACTCGTGCATGATTTTCAGAATCACAGATAACTCAGTGGCAGAAGGCATCAGTACTTAATCCCCAAAACCTTTATTTAATAACAACAACAACAAAAAAAATCTGGACAGCCACAGACATGCCCAGCTGTACATTTGCTGTTCCTCTAGTTTTCTAGTGTGCATAGCAAGAAGTGTGGGGCGCTGTAGGTCTGAATTTCTGAGCTGCACTTAGTCACATTTGCCATAACCCCCTTCAAGAAGAACTGACCCATCTAAGTGATGGGAACCAGGTCCAAGTTGCCCAGCCCTCTCTTTTTCTTCCTTTTCCTTCCCTCTCAAGGACTAGCGTGCGTTTGCAGTATTTCGATCTTGGCCCCCATACCACCCCACCACCCCCACAGGTTCTTCAGGCTTTGTTTCAGGCCCTGGGGGATGAACAGTTGTGAATGCAATGTGGACTCACTGACTCCCACTTCCCCGATTCTGATTCTGATTGGTCGCCACCTTGCTCCACCATATGGCTGCAGTCTACTCTAGCCTGCATCCCTTTCTCTGACTTTCCCCTACTGTTCCCTTCCATTGTACAGAACACTGGGAGTGGGGTCCAGGCTTTGTCTCCTGTTTCTCTCTCCTGTTTCTCTGCTCAGGCAGTCAGGAGGAGAGTACACTGTATTTCCCAAGGAGGACTAGAAAGGAGAAAAACACCTTTTTTTTTTTTCTTTCTCTGCCTGATATAGTAGTTCTTTCTTTTCCTGTGCTATTTTTGTTCAAAGTTTTTTGGCAGGTGTCACATTTGTGTCGTATCATTTCCCTCCTGGTTCCTCTCTTTCCATGACTTAAACTGAGTTTTGTTTTGTTTTGTTTTTGATAAAAGTTCCTGGAGTTCCATTTTTCTGGCCACTGATACAACAGTTTAGCTCTTTTATTAATATGTTCGATTAATTTGTTATGGAGGGTGACTGAAAACAACTAATAATTAATCGTTCAGTGTCCAAATGTTCTGGCAATCACAAAGTAATAAGATCTACATGAGAGATTCAAAATCATCCACAGCACTACTGCTGTGACTTCCTCTTCTCCTAATATCAGTTCAATTACTTCTGCTTTTAAACCTGAGAAATAAGACTTGAAAGTTAATTTTTATGGGCCCTTGATATTTTTATTAATTTGCATTTTTATTGTTCTGCAGACGGTTTATGCAGAGACTTTGTACTATGTATCCTCTTTAAAATGTGACTACTCAAAGGGACAGTGCTCACAGATTATAAAAGAGAGCAGACTTTATTTTTAAGGAAACTAGCTTTACGTGACCTTTTTATTTTTTGGGTCTAAATAGAAGGAATAAAAATATAAGAAATTCAAGAAAGCATTTGTATTGACTTAAAACGTCTAAGCTCCCGTTTTTAATATTTTTATAAAATATTTTAATATTCAAAATGCGTTAAGCCAGTAAACTAGAGATCTGGATTCTTGAGTGAATATGTGTAGTGAGATTGGTCAGACTCGTAAGCAGGAATTTAAAGATGACCCTGATAGTACAGATTTTCTTAACCCTTTATTTGAAAAGATCATCACTCTTTCCTCCCCCTCCCCTCCCCCCACTCCATAATCTGTGTCAGGAAATAGCCATCTATTTTTATCAGAAACAACAAACCTCAGCTGGCAGGCTAATGTGATGGTATATGGAACGAATGCTGCCTCGACTTTCTTTCGGCCTTTTGAACAGTAGGGAAGGAGCCCAGGGCTGGCCGCGAGTGGTATTTTATCTTCTTGGGGCCGTTTGCTCAACCTTGGCCCATCGCTTTACTCATGCACAGAGAGCAAGGACATTTCCTTTGCCACGTAATTCGAGGTACAGGTTATAGCTGTGAGGAAAGTAAGTCCTCCCCCCGTCCTGGTGTGTATATTCTGTTGAAATGCACTTTGATAGTAATGATGATGCTCAGGCACATTTATTCTTGGATATGAGCAAGGCCTAGAAAACTGAAGAAACTTTACATTGTTTTCATTTTAACTAAGTCTTTGTAACTCAGTCCCACCCCTGCCTAAACAACCGTGTGCAATTCCACATACCTTGACCAGCAAATTAGTCCTCCTCCTGAGTTACATGTTTCAGTCATTTAGATCATCTGTTACTTATGTTGCATACTGTTGAGATGAAGATTGCTATGGTTAAAATGTCTGTCTAGGGTTTGAAAGGCCGGAAATACTCGACGTTTGTGTGAATAACAGAAGTTCGTATGACTGGTGTCTGTGTTTTTAAATGCAAAAGGAAAATGACCATCAGAGTTCTGAGACTTTACATCTAACAACTCTTTTAGTACTTGTAAGAACCCTAGGGGGTGCATCGTTAATCAGCGTATTTTAAGGAACAGCAAGTAGAGGCACAGATAAATAACTCGGCCAGCATCATTTTACAGCAAAACTGAAATTTGAATTAAGGTGATTTGTCTCCAGAGTAGCATCTTCACAGCCACTTTGTAGTGCCCTTCCAGCACACTAAGCTTTGTGAGTTTAAATGTAACAAGTTTTACATTATGTTGCAGGAAAGATGCCAGAGGCACATAATCACTGCACATTTCTGTACAGCTGATGGAGCACAATTCTGATAGATTTCTTTCTTTTTTGTCTTCACTTGGTAGAAAAGAGTAGTTGAACAGCTACGGAAGAACCTGATAGTAAAGCAAGAACAACCAGACAAGTTCCAAATACAGCCATTGCCACAATCGGAAAACAAACTACAAACAGCACAGCAGCAACCACTACAGCAGCTACAGCAGCAACAGCAGTACCACCATCACCACACGCCGTCAGCTGCACCCTCTCCCAACCTGACTGCTTCACAGGTAAAGCATGGAAAGAACCCTGCAGGCCTCCTGTGGTAGACCGACCTATTCCTGGTCCTCAAGAGTTGGGTCCTGTCTGAGACTTGACTGAATTCAACTAAAACAAAAGTTATTTTTGGTTATTTTTTAATATTATGAGAAAAGAATCACCTGAAATGCATTGACAGGAGGGAAAGAAAAAAAGGTTACGAAAGTGGAAAAAATTGTAATTCCTAACCATTCAAATTCAAGGATAAGGGTAACAGACAGCTCTCTTCTCTGCTCTAAAGGAATTCTCCTTCTGGAATATTTCCTCTGCAGTTCTTAGCAGTTAAGGGTGTAGATAAGATAGAATCTCTGCCCTTGGGATCAGACAGAAAGAGGCAGGTAGCAGTGTAAAGTTTTTCATTGCTCATAGAAACATTATTCTTTGCTAAGTTCATATCCTTGACTATACAAAAAAAAAAAATGGGAGTGGGGGGATGCCACACCCAGCAATGCTCAGGGTTTGCTTCTGGCTCTCCACTCAGGGATAACTCCTGGCGAGCTCAGGGAACCATATTGGGTGCCAGGGATCAAACCCGGGGTCCACTGCGTGCAAGGCAAGCCACTACCTGCAATACTATTGCTTGGGCCCCTACACAAATCTTTAATAATGAAAACTATAGATCAATACTAGAACTAAGAAGTGGTAACTTAAGTGACTTTCGTACTTGCTATAGCTGTGCTAATGTTTTTATTAAGAAGGAACTTTAAATCGTTGTGTGATACAAGCATAGTGAGGCAATCAAGATACACAAAAAGGATATACTTTGTAATGATGCTTGATTTAAAAAATTATTCTGGCTTAGTCTCCATGCATTTATATGTAATTGAATATACCTTTTGCTTTTTAGTTGATTGGTTTTTAAATTTTGGACACAGGGCCTCACACAGGTAGGCCATGCTTTGCCACAGAGCCACATCTCCAGCCTTGACTTACCTTGACGATAGAACAGTTGGGACCCGAGAGATAGTTCAGTGTGTAGGGTGTATGCCTTGCATACAGCCACCCTTGATTTGATCCCAGCACCACACATGGCCCCTCGAGCACCACACCCCAGGAATAAGACCTGAGCACAGCTGGGTGTGGTTCAAAAGCAAAAGGGAAAAACAAATGGGGCGGGAGGATCACACAAATTATTAAGTATTTGCCAGTTCTGTGGCTTTTTTTTTCTGGCTCAGTGAATACAGATTCATAAAATTATATTCAGTAATTATATGTAAATATCAACCATTTTAATTTCTTCTTTCACTTATTTTGAACAGACTGTTTGTTTCTTGGGGGTGGGGGTGAGTGCCATACCTGGCCCTAATGTGGGACTATTTCTAGCATTCGGTCCCAGCTGTGCTTAGGGAACCATGAGGTGTCAGGGATCAAACCACGGCCTCCCACATGCGAAGTGTATTCTCTGGCCTGTGTGCATTTCTGTGTGATTTTGATTGTCACGCTCAAGGTGCTAGAGCATTCCGTATGTGTTTCAGTGTTGTTGTTGTTTTACGCATAACCAACATATGCATTATTTTAGTTTAAGTATACAGCATAATGACTTGGCATTTGTAAAATGATTGTTATAATGGATCTGTTTACCATCTTTCCTTTGCAACTTCCAAATTTGCCACACCACACCACATTATTGATCTGAGGCCTCCCCATGTCAGTGGTTTCTAAACAGCATTTGGTGGGCCAGAATAGGATGAAGCTTTCATCAGTTCAAGGTTAAAGGAGAAAAGCAGAGGCAAGTTAGGGAATTCTTAACAATAAAGCCAAATGTATTCAATTTTGAAAAATAAAATGGGATAATTGGTCAGTGGTTATTGATTCTTGGAAGCCCCAGGTTCAATTAAGGGCCTGTTGAGGGCCCAGGATGCAGCTCAGTGATAGAGCAGTTGGACGTAAGTCCCCCCAAGTTAATTAATAAAAATTAAAACTTCAGAAAGGCAATTGAAAGTTAGGGGTTTCTTCCCTAGAAAAATTTACATTCACACTAGATACACTTTCTTTGGGTACGTGATTTCAAGGAATTTAGAATCTTCTGAAACCTAAACAGTACCCACTGACACCAAGTCTAAAGTAAACTAAATGTTTGTAGTAGAGAGAGAGATTGTACTGTACTTGGTCATTTGCTATTTATGTAAAATTGCTGGGCTGATTATATACAACATTTTACACCTGCAGAATGCACTATTTATAAAAATTCTAAAGATTGCACTTAATATAGGTACTGTATACCAGTACTCTCTTAAGCACTTTACATATATAGCATATATATAATACCTCAGTCCTATGAAAAATATATCATTATTTTTATTTCTTGTTGGAGGGTTCTTGAACTACACCCACAGTGCTCAAGGGTAATTCCTGGCTCTGCACTAAGGAATGATTTCTAACGGGGCACAGAGGACCATGTGGGATCCTGGGGATCTGACCCGGTTCGGCCACATACCAGGCAGGTACCCTACCAGCTGTGCTATGACTCCAGCCCTTATTTTTATTTCTATATTTTAGAAAACTCAGCTTAGACACTAACAGATTAAGAAATCACCTAAAAATCACATGGGTGAGTTTTGAAGTAGAGCCAAGATTTGAACCCAAATGTTCTGACTAAAACAATCTTTTCATTTACATGTCTTCTATATTGCCATATAATACCAGAATAAAATAAATTCCAGGGGCCAGAGAGATAGCACCGTGGGTAAGGCACTTGCCTCGTATGGAGTCAACCCAGGTCCAGGTCCTGGTACCCCATGTGGTGAGTGCCCAGAGCCCGCTAGGAGTAATCCCTGAGCTCAGAGATAGAAGTAAAATCATGGGCACAGCTGGGTGTGGCCCCAGAACACAACAATAACAAAATCCAACATTGTATAAAATGTCAAAGAAAAAATAAAATATCCCTGCTAGAAATCAAATAACTAGAGCAACGCACACAATTTTTACCTAATCTTCAGCCCAAGGCTATTTGGAAATTGATCATTCCAACTGGTGTTTAAAATTCTTTGTCAAAATTTGTATTGCTTCTGAAAGAACTAATGTATAAGATCTGGGATGTGACTCAGTGGTAAAAGTGCATCCATGCACTGCCTCCCACCCTCCCCTCCAACAAGAAAAAGCTCTGTTCATCAGATTAGTTTGGTGGTGGAGTTTTAAACAGATTGTCCTCTTTCCTAAGTCTGGTTTGATCAGAGAGTGTTTACATGGAAGGAGTATGGTAGAACTCATTGTCCTCTGGTAAGCGTTTTCTCTATTAACCCACGGAAACTTTATGTTCAGGCCATACAAACCACAGAAATAGCTGTTCCCCTCCCCTGGTGATCTGGTTCTGTGATGCTCTGAAATAAGGTGAAGTGCTTAGGGCTGTCCCCAAAACAATGTTATGTGGCATCCCTCCCAGAACTATTTCATTGATTTCGCTAAGCTTTTGTAGTATTCTGTTGTCATGCAAATGTCTGAGGTTAAAAGCCAAAAAATTCCCTTGGTTTTTTATGTAAACACTACTTGGGTATTCTGTGTGTGCTCTATTTTGGTATACAGAGAAGTAATACTGTGCCTGTCTGCAGTATGGTATTTTACGATTATCATTGTCATTCAGTCTATAAATGTTCCCTGAGTCTGAAGTGTGTATATACTTTGTTAATGTAAAGGATAGAGTCGCAGATCAGATAGAATTGTCTCTGCAGAATTTTTAAAAATTGGAGGGGAGAAAGAAGTAAACAACTAACAAAGAAGAATAAAATGAAAGTCCTAATAAAGAGCTGTGAAAATATCGAGGACAGAGTAATTCTGAGCTGAGGGATCAGAGAGTAAGTACTTCATAAAGGAGATGGCATTTGAACAGGGCCTTGACAGATAAGTGTGATTTCAGTGATGGAGCAAAGTGGGAAGAACATAACCGCTATAGTGAACAGTAGACTCTGGAGTACAAAGTGTGTGTGTGTGTGTGTGTGTGTGTGTGTGTGTGTGTGTGTGTGTTTGTGTGTGTGAGTGTGCGCGCACATGAAATGGCTGGAGCATGAATTCTAAAAACCAGGGAGAAGAAATAAAGCCAGAAAGGTAGAAATGTCAAATGCGTGACAGAACTGCTGGGGTTTTTGCAGTCATGGGGGAGTCATTAAAGGTTAAAGAATCCAGGACAAATGTGAGGTTGTATGCGGCATATATTAAGTATCTAAATTCAGAAAGAATTTAGCAGTCAGAGTGGGTAGAAAGAGGAGGCGCTGGCAGAAAGTTCTGTACTCTCAGTCAGATGATTGGCAGGCACCGAAGCATGAGTGAATGGGAGGGATCAGTTCCCTTTACTCCAGCTCATGCTTCTACACATATTTTGTAATATTCCCAACCTGTATGGGGAAATGAAAGAAAAGCTAAGTGTCAGTTCTGCCCTTCAGTGTATGTTCGCAACCCAGTGGTTGCTAATGTCATCCAGATGTAAACAAATATGTAACTTGTAACACCAAGCAGACAATAAACCTTTAAAGACAAAGGGGGTTCTACCTGTGGTCTGTGTAAAGTGACCTCCCATTCAAACTAAATGAAGGAGATATGTATAGAATACAATGCAATGTAGAGTTTGTACATAGCATTATAAGGCCTGGGGTTGACCCTTGATACCCAAATCAGAAACAAGGTAAAGAAAATTGAAAAAAAAAAAAAAGCCATGAGGTTAATCAGAGCCCACAGAGATAACCCCCCTAGCTTCCTGTTTGAACTTGGGAGTTGATCTGTTTTAAATCATTAAAGCAACTCATGTTTTATAAATGAACAACAATAATAAGATTAAAATTTTTTTTAATTTTAGTTAGTACTTCTTATGTATATGTCTGCATTAACTTCTAGTTCATGCAGTTTAGATTTTATTAAAGAAAATAAATAATGAAAAATAAAACCTGAAAACTGGGGCAGCTGCCATCTTTTGAAGGGCATCTGTCTTATGGACAGAACTAGCCAGGGACTAATCCATCTTTTGAAGGGCATCAGTCAGGAACTAATTCCACAAAACAGTTTTCTGGACTCAGAGAGATAGCCCAGCAGTAAAGCACTTGCCTTGCGTGCTGCCAAACCTGGTTCAATCCCTAATATCCCATAGGGTCCCCTGAGTACCACCAGGCGTGATGCCTGAGCACCACTCCTACCCCCACCAAAAAAAAAGACAGTTTTTTTTGTGGTTTGACACTTTTCTTCTCAATGCCTTCTTCCTACCAAAACATTTTTTTTTAGGTTTGAATTTCAAAATTCTAGGTTCTTTTTGCCATCTAACCTTGAATCTCCAAGAGTTTTTGCATCATGTTCCCTGGTTCATGTTCCTTAGTTCCAATAAGCACTAGAAGAAGAACTAGCATCAGCACCAGAGTCAATCTCTAGTGTCAATAAATAGTAAGTGAAGGCTTCAGGAAGTCTTCGTTAATGCATATGGTACTAAGTCTTGTGCCTGAGAGAGTTACACAGATGCTGGAGTGCATGCAGTGGTGGTGTTGAAAGGTGGGAAAGTATCATGTATGAAACCCAATCAGCAACAGGACTGTAAATCATGCTGCAAGATACACTGGTGAGGGAAGCTGACACTGGTGGCAGGATCAGTGATGGAACATAGTGTGACAAAAAATACAACTCTAACTTTGTAACTCATGATGCTTTAATAAAATAAAATTGGGGGGCAATACAAAAAAATTAACAAAAGCATGTTCTCTGGAGGGGGGGAATAAACCATAGCATTAAAGTGAAAATAAATAAATAAAAGTATCTCTCATAATAACAAAGTGGGAAGCAAAGGTGGGGGGAGGGACTTGGTGGAAGGAAGTGGACACTGGTGAAGGGATTGATGCTGAAGCATTGTATGCCTGAGACCCACTCATGAATAACTTTGTAATTTCACAGTGAGTAAATTTTAAAATTTTAATAAAGAAGGATACATGTAGTGAAAATAACCACAACTAAGCATTTCTAAAGAAAAAAGAAAGCTAACCTAAAATGAACTGCCTGATAGGTTTAATGTTTTTTTTTTTAAGTGTTGGCATTCATGGTAAATTATAACTCAGGTAAATTTGAAGTTTTACATGTTTTCTTAAAATAATCACCAGGGGCTGGAGTGATAGCACAGCAGATAGGGCATTTGCCTTGCACACGGCCAACCCGGGTTCAATTCCCAGCATCGCATATGGTCCTCCCAAGCACCACAAGGAGTAATTCCTGAGTGCAGAGCCAGGAGTAAACCCCTGTGCATCGCTGGGTGTGACCCAAAAAGCATAATTATTTATTTAATTAATTAATTAATCGCCATATGGGCTGGAGTGATAGTGTAGTGACTAGGTGCTTGCCTTGCATGTGGCCAGTCCAGGTTCAATCCCTGGTACCCCACGTTTTCCCCTGAACACTATTGGTGTGCCCACCCAACAATAGTAATCACCATAGCATTTTTCAAAATGTTGATAACTATTTTCTTGCACCAAGAGTACTTCAAATTTAAAAGTACATTGATCTCTTAAATCTGCAACAACTTCCACAGTTGTTTTTAAAATTCACAGTCATGATAGGAATGGAGCGATAGTACCATAGGTAGAATGTTTGTCTTGCGCGCGGCCAACCAGGTTCAATCTTTGGCACCTCGTATGATCCACGGACCCTGCCAGGAGTGATTCCTGAGTGCAGAGCGAGGAGTAAGCCCTGAGCACAGCCAGGTGTGGCCCAAAAAAACAAACAACCAAAAATCCACTGCAGTGAATGCCACAGATGAGAACATTCCACATCTGGGTGGCATGAAGATTGAGTTCCCTCTGATTGATTGACTTACCACCTTGGGCGGTCTCCCATCTTCATTTTGGAATATTATCAGTTAAAAGGCAACGCTTTTATTAAAGTAATTGATAACCCAAAGTCAGTCCTGTCTCCTTAATATTATACAATTTCTAACAGAAATAGTATTTAGTTTTTGTTTTGTTTTGTGTTTTTGGGCCACACCCAGAGATGCTCAGAACTTATTCCTGGCTCTGTGCTCGGGGATCACTCATGACAGGGTTCAGAGGACCCCCCTGGGAATACTGGGGATCGAACCTGGAGTCAACCACATGCAAAGCAAGCACCCTACCTGCTGTACTATCTCTCCAGTCCCAATTTTTACTTTTATCTTTAGTTTTTGTCTTAGTTTTCGTAAGTAGGTGACTTTACCCCTCCCCCACCCAAATTAGTAGATACCAGTGTCTCTTTTACTACAACTTCCCATTTGGGATGACAAGAGAAGCCAAGAAAACAAAGATTAGAGTGACTTTAAATTACAGACACTAATAAGAATAGCTGATTATGCTACGATGGGATAAAAGGAAAAAAACACATAAAAAGATTAGGGACTAGAGTCATAGAACAGCCAGTATGGGCTGCAGCTGACCCAGGTTCCATCTCCAGAAACCCATATGGTCCTCCAAACACCCCCAACAGTAATCCTTGAGTACAGAGCCAGGAATAAGCCAATCTCAGGTGTGGTCCAAAAATAAAAAAAATAATTATTAGATTGGAGGGAGGGAGGGAGGGCTGAAGGCAGAAAATAGAAGTGATTATTAGAAACAGGATCAAAAAGATTAGCACAGGATTGAGGTGCTTGCCTTGTGCACAGCAAACTTTGGTTCCATTCCTGGCACTATATTATATGGTTCCCCTGAGCACTGCCAGGAGGGATCCCTGCACAGAGCCACAACACTGTATATGGCCCAAACATCCCTCTATACCCTGCCCCCTCCCCCCCAAAAAATGAAGTTCACCTTGAAACAGACCGCTTGAAATACTGTACTTCAGTGTGGAACACCTCTACTCTTCAGTTTGGTTGCCACTAGTTAACAGGTGTGACTGTTAAGCACGTAATTGTGATCCCTATGACTGAGAAACTGATGTTGTAATTTTATTTTGCTTAAATTAATTTCAGTTTAAATATCTACCTGTGGCTAGTGGCTGCCAAATTAGATAGTGCAAGTGTAGAAAAAGAAAAGGTAGAGTAATATCAAAATTAGCACCAACAAATTGGACCCAGTAAATTTTCACGTTCCGGAAACATCTCATTTCGAGTGACTAGTAGCATTAGATAGAAGCATATGCCACATAATAAGGTTGTGTCTATTTTCCTGTTTGTAACTGGCTCTCTTAATTACTCTAGGAAAAAGTCTAGAAAAATACAGCTTCAAAGCTGAGCCAACACCTAGGGGACATCAGTCAAGTTCCCTTACCTCAGTTCATCCTCTGATCTCTAAGACTTTTTGAACCTCAGGTGTTTGTTTCCACCTTGTCATGTTTCCCTGGCTCTTTGATCACTGCTGCAGCAGGCCTCCAGAGAAAAGATTAGAGGTAGTGACTCTTATCCCTTTGGTATCAAGAGCTGGTATTTACTATATTAGTTGGTTAATAGGTTGCATTATCAGGAGTTTGGGATTTACTGCCTCTGAGGCAATAGTTGTACTAATCCTCCTAAGAGTTTTCCTTCCTCCTCTCCAGGGTGACATTCTAAAGAATCAAAAGTCACCGTCCTTTTATCCCAGCTTTTGTGTACAAGAGGCAGATAACCAGAATCATCTGATGGCTTTCTTCATATTGATGAGGTTGTAGACGGCGGTAGAGATGGAGTATGCCCCATTGACAGGCAGCTCTTGCAAAGCTTCCGTTAATTGAAAGCAAAGAATTAGACAAGCCAGAAGGACACTCATATTCTTTATCTGCAGTCCCACCCCCTTCGTAGTCCCCAGACTTGTGCCCATATCAGTCTGCAGTTACTGCTATAAACTTGAAGCTAAATTTACAGACTCTGGCAAACTAGAAAGTCTCTTTCCCTGTCATGAGAACTGTGCTCCATGTGCACAAGAGAACGTTGTTATACTGAAGAGCTTGATCATGAGAATGATTGCTTTGTTTTCTCCTGGGGGTTAGCATCATATGGTTGAGGGGCTCACACTTCAGCATCCTAATACCTGTTCTCCATGTCTCCTAGAAGACTGTAACTACAGCTTCTATGATTACCACAAAGACACTACCTCTCGTCTTGAAAGCAGCAAGTGCGACCATGCCTGCCTCTGTTGTGGGCCAGAGACCTACCATTGCTATGGTGACCGCCATCAACAGTCAGAAGGCTGTGCTCAGCACTGACGTGCAGAACACACCAGTCAACCTGCAGACGTCTAGTAAGGTCACTGGGCCTGGGGCAGAGGCTGTCCAAATTGTGGCAAAAAACACAGTCACTCTGGTAAGCCAGCAGCTGCTACTCATGTGCGCCCACATGAGAGGGTTCAGGATATGCGTTTAGAGAGTATATCCATTTAATGCTCCTGCTGGATTTTTTTTTAGTCTCCAACACTCTTCTAGCATAACAATTCCCACTGGGGACTGACCAGGGAAGATGGTGTTCCTGCTAGCTGTTTAAATCAGGATAGGGGTTGTCCCTGCCACGAAGCATCAGAGCCCCGTGGAGGTCACAGTGTACTCAGGCGTTAGGGGTGATATGCCCATCACAGAGGCATAGACGTCATTCCATATATTTCTCCCTCTGTCCTATCCATAGTCCTTCCTGTAACACTCGAATGCTTGACTCTCTGTTGCTGTATGACTGACTGGGGGGAAACTTCCTGTGGCGGTCTCTTGGTTCACTTTCCTTTCTTTAAAGGGATATTTAACATATTCCTTTAAATTGATGGTCACCGGGAAACACTGAAGTCGGGTACTCTAAAAATCTTCAAGAGGGCTGGAAAGACAGTATGCTTGCCTTGCATGTGACAGACCCCGATCCGATCCCCTGCACCACATGGTCTCCTGGGGGCCACCTCCCCCACCTCCTGAGCACTGCTTGGGAGACTCCAAACGAAATATTCAAGAAACTCATGAGTTAACTGTGTCTGTATGTATCTATCACTGAAAGAGATCCCTTGAAGGAAAAAATACTGGAATTAAAAGCATTTGGAGCTAGAGCAGTAGTACAATAGATAGGGTGTTTGCCTTGCACATGACCTACCCAGGTATGCATCCCAGCATCCCATATGGTCCCCTGAGCTCTGCTAGGAGTAATTCCTAAGTGCAGAGCCAAGAGTAACCCCTGATCATTGCCAGGTGTGTCCCAAAAAAAAACAAAAATCAAAGTAAAAAGTATTTTCATGGGGGGTGCTGGAGAGATAGTACATTGGATAGGGCATTTGCCTTGCACGCAGCCAACCCAAATGTGATCCCTGGCACCCCACGTGGTTCACTGAGTTCGCCAGGTGTAATCCTTGAGTACAGAGCCAGGAGTATGCTCTGAGCACGATCAGGTGTGGCCCAAAAGCAAAAAGAAAAAAGCATTCATGGAATTTCTAGGGTAAAACTTTTAGAGACTGCTGTTCTCAAACTTGAGGGGAATATGTTCCAATTGTGGTCGAAAGTCCCTTCTTAAAACGGCAGCTAAGAGCTCTTGGTGAGTTTCGAATGAGAACCAGTGATGAGTGAAACTAGAGAGTAATAAAATGAAACCTTTCCACTTACCCAGGAATCTTTAAAGAAGCAACCAGATAACTCAGCCAGATGCTGGGAGCTAGAAAATTCTCTGTAGGAATAAAGCTATTCACTGTTAGATAAAGCTCTTATATTAGGAAAAAGCCCATTTGGCCAGGCAACAAGTTTGATATTACTTTGGATCCAGTCTCGACTTTTAAAATACCTAAGTGCAAGAGTTAAGTGTCACAGGAAATTTGCTGAGCCTGCTATGTTCTACATTAGGTGTGTGAGGAAAAAGAATTGCGGTTGGTTCCCTCTTTAGAGTAAAAGCACGCAGGTGGGAGAGTAAAATGGTTTTTAAGGTGATGTTAATTCAGATGAAAGCTTGTAGAAATATTGTCTGATCTGGAGACTAGTGATGCTGAAAAGACTTGATCGTCCTCTCTATTTATTTGTCTTTCCCATTTTTTTCAGCAGGTTCAGGCAACACCACCTCAACCCATCAAAGTACCACAATTTATCCCCCCTCCCAGACTCACTCCACGTCCAAACTTCCTTCCACAGGTGAGTAAACCAGTGACAGGCCCAGTGCTGGGTCAGGTGAAACAAGACTCCTCTAGGAGCCCTTTCTAAGCAGCCGTTAGTGTGCAGTTTCGCTCAGACTATTTACATCTCACTTTGCTTCAGATTCTGGTTGCTGGTTTCTATACTGTAAAGGAGCTGATTTTTATCATCATCTTTTTTGGGGGCCGTGGGGGAGGGTCACACCCGGCGATGCTCAGGTTACTCCTAACTGCACTCAGGATACACCTGGCAGTGCTCAGGGAGCCATATGGGATGCTGGGGATCAAACCTGGGTCAGCTGCATGCAAAGCAAACATTCTACCCACCGTACTATTGCTCTGGCTCCCGGAATTTTTCCAAATTTTAAAACAACGAAGTCGACACTATTTTAAGCCTTCTAATGCTTAACTTACTGGAAGAATTATTCTGCCTGCCAGTGAGGAGGGATTCAATTATTTCATTCCATTTCTTCCCTGTATGCCAAGGAGAGGAGGGAAGGAAAGAGTAAGCATCCTTTCCACCAATAAAAATCGTTCTCTTGTTATTTGGAAAGGGATGGCAATGAGCATCCAAGCTGAGCTTACAGAGATTTAGACTAGGGGCCTGCATAAGGAACCTTCCACCTAGAACTTGTTCTGCTCACCCCTGCTGTTCTGAGAATATTCTTCCGGTAATTGGACTGAGCTCACCTGAACCCATGAAAGAATGTCAAGATCTCCCTGGTTCGGACCTTGAGGGGAGTTGACTTACCTAGTAGATTGTCTGAGTATCTCAAGGTCCCAGGTTTGCAGTCAAAGAGAGGAGAGAAATAGAGTTTCATAGTCATTGGACCTAAGTCATTTCCAGATTGTTTCTGGGGAACAGAATGGACCATGTTAACAGAAAATAAGACGATTTTTAATAATTATCTGATCAATCCTTAATAAATACATTGGGTATCAAAATACTAACCACTAAACTTAACCAATTTTTAAGGCAGTTTTCTGCCCTAAAGGAACTTCTAGGACATACAAAAGTAACTGTATTATCCATTGTGGGAGGGGACAGGATAGTCAAAGAACACAGCAGGATACCCAACTCATTCTAAATATAGGAAGTTTCCTTGGGAAGTTGACATTCAGGTCCGGAGATACAGTGTAGTGAGTTAGGCACTTGCCTTGCGTGCACCTGACCCAGGTTTGATACCAGACACCCCGATGGTCCCCAAGCTCTGCCAGGAATGATCCCTGAGTGCAAAGGCAGGAGTAAGCCCCAAACAAAACCAAATTGACAGTCAGTCCTAATAAAGTTAACTGACAACAGTTTCAGGGGAAGAATAGTAATGTCTCGGGCATACAGCAAAGTACAAATGTAAACCCAGGGATAGAGATTAGTGGGGTGGGGAGGGTAGGGGCATAATACTTAAATAGAAGTATTACTCCTGGTAATACTTTTTGTTGCTCCCTGCTCTCTGCTCTGGAGTTACCCTGGAAGTGCTCTGGGGCTATATGTGGCACCTGGGGTTCCATCTGGGGTTGATAGACACTAACCCCCATAGTGTCTCTGCAGCCTCCTGGCATAGACGGATTAACGTAAGCTTAAGAAACCATCAAGATGTGGTGTGACTGAGCACAAGCGACATGAGGATGATTCAGGCGAGAGGAAGAAAGAATCCAGAGAAACCCATTTGGGCCAGAGCCTTGTAAACTCCTGAAAAAATTTGGCCCATATTCCACGGGGATTGCACTCTAAAACATTTTCAGACATACAGATCATATTTTTATTTTGGCAAATGTGCCCTAGCCCATATTCGATATGCCAGACACAGTAACAACAAATCTCACAATGGAGACGGAGACATTACTGAGCCCACTCGAGCAAATCGATGAACAACGGGAGAACAGTGCTACGGTGACAGTGCCCTAGCCAGTCAGTGTATAGAGAATAGATTAGAAATGGTCAAGATAATGGGAAGGAAGAAGCTGTAGGAGGTTATTAGGAATATCAATGGCTAAGGTTTAGAGTCTAGAGCTAAATGTAATTATTTAGGCTGAAAAATTTTGTTATTTGTTGTTAATTGTTGTTAAGCTTTAGGATGTTATTAGGAATACCAATGGCTAAAATTTAGAGTCTTACAGTACTGTTAGGCACTTTATTTGGCTTATCTGTTGTGATTTTTTTTTGTTGTTATTGTTCAGGGGCCACATCCAAAAGTTCTTGAGAACTTAGGGGTTCTCAAGAGTTGCTTGCGGACCCTGTCGTACTGGGGCGTCAAACCTGGGCCTCCTGGATGTAAAACATTGTATTCAGCCTGTTGATCTATTTCTCTGGCCCCTGGATTATCTGTCTTAATCTTACAAGAAACCCATGTCACTGGATATTACTTTTTTTTTTTTTTTTTTTGCTTTTTGGGTTTCTTTGCTTTTTTGGGCTGGAGCGATAGCACAGCGGTAGGGCGTTTGACTTGCACGCAGCCAACATGGCCGACCCGAGTTCGATTCCTCCGCCCCTCTCGGAGAGCCCGGCAAGCTACTGAGAGTATCTCGCCCGCACGGCAGGACCTGGCAAGCTCCCCGTGACGTATTCGATATGCCAAACACAGTAACAACAAAGTCTCCAATGGAGACGTTACTGGGTCCGCTCTAGCAAATCGATGATCAACGGGAGGGCCTTTACTTACTTTACTTACTTTGGGTCTCACCCAGAGATGCTCAGGGGTTACTCCTGGCTCTGCACTCAGGAATTACTCCTGGTGGTGCTCAGGGGACCATATGGGATGCTGGGAATCGAACCCGGCCGGCCGCATGCAAGGCAAACGCCCTACCCGCTGTGCTATCGCTCCAGCCCCTATTACTTTTTTTTTTAACTAAGGAATCTAAGGCTTAATTCTTTTTTTGTCACACAATTGGTTATGACATTAGTAGCCTATGCAATCAATCAAGTGACTGAAAGGAGTAAAATGAAAAAGGAAATACTGGAATACATAGTACACAGTATTGTGCTGTGAAGTTTTATTTTTATAAAGGTATAAATTTACTACATCTCTACTGGCATATGTAGACCTGCTGACCACCATGTAAAAAGTATTCCCACTCTCTAACTACAGCACCCACACAGGGTTGTCCTAGATTTCAGTAACATTTCAGGCTCCCAAGGTTATCAAGAAGCATGCTTGGTATTTATCTGCTTGGAGCAATGTAGGACAGAGGCTAGAACTTGCTAGTCACGCTTCAGGCATTTTCTTCAGTGGGATGAAAGGTAAGATAGTGCATGCGACAGAACCCCTACAGGAGACACCCATGTGAGCCAAGTGACAAGACTCGCCCCACTTCAGGAAAACCTGGTGGTCTGACAGGTGTTTAGTTTTCTCATCCAGGTTCTTTTTTTTTTTTTTCCTCTTCCGTTTTTTGGGTCAGTCACACCCAGTGATGCTCAGAGATTATTCCTGATGGTGCTCCAGGGACCATATGGAATGCGGAGGATCAAACCCGCCAGTGAGAGCTCGCAGGGAAAGCCCTTACCTGCCTCTCAGGCCATCATCCAGGTTCAGTTGGGCAATTAGGGATCACTTTCACCTTAAACCCAGTCACCTGGTTACATAGTTGACTTTCTTACCCCCTAGCAGTCTTCCAGGAACAGAGCTAGAGAGTTAACTGAGGGTATCATTTGCATGCACTGTCCAGAGGGTCACAGTTGGGGGAATTTGAATTCTAATTTAGGGCCGAAGAAATGGCCTAAGGGCTGTGTGTGTGCTTTATATGCAGGTGCCCTGAAACCTGTCCAGAAGCAGAGCTGGGAGTAGCCTCCAGCACCTCTTGGGTGTGGCCGCCAAACCTGAAAAATACTAACCTAAAGAGTGATCTTTGCCTGAGGTTACACATTTAGTAAGCGGAAGAAGAATTTGAACCCAAGCAAGGCTGACCCTTGTTTATATGGGCCCAGCTGACTCTTGATCACTTGATTTTATTTGGAGGGGGCAGGAAATGTTGTTTTTTGTTTGTTTGATTTTGCAGGGAGGGCTGTGTTTTGGGGCCACACCTGGCAGTTAGCCAGACCTGGCTTACTCATGGCTCTCTGTATTCACTCCTGGTGGTCTCAAGGGACTGTACAGGGTGCCAGAGTTCCAACGCTGGCCCACTGCATACAAGTCAAACGCCCTCTGCACTGTACTATCACTCCAGCTCTAACGCCTTTGGTTTTTGGGTTTTTTTTTTTTTTGGCTTTTTGGCTTTTTGAGTCACACCCAGTGATGCTCAGACTCTGCACTGAAGAATCAATCACTCCTACCCCTTTGTTTTTAAAGTACAGTTTTCTGCCACTAATTTGGTAAGCCAGATTTAAGCTAGGATAGTTGCAGTATAGATAGGAAGCAGACAGTTTTGAGAAAGATTATAAGAAGCAGAGGTTCAGAGCTGCAGATGGTATATCAGGTGAGGTGCCTGCTTTGTACACAGCCTGGGTTTGATCTCCGGCACCCCATATGGTCCTCCAAGCACCACCAGGAGTGATCCCTGAGCACAGAGCTGGGAGTGAGCCCTGAACACCACCAGTTTGTCGTTCCCCCCCCAAAAAAATAAATAAATAAAAAAGTTAAAGGTGGGGTTTGATGCTTCAGGAATGATTCCAAGTATATTTAGGGGGAAGACATGACCATTACTGTGGTGATAATTATAGGAGGTATAAAGGATTAAATAAAGCAGACATGTTGATTTTGATTCTTGTGTGATTTCCAAATAGACATATTTACAGGCAGTTGACTATGTGATTCTGAAATTCAGTATATCTGGTCCTGAAATATGAGGATGGAAGTCTTCAGTGTGGCAATGGTAACCGAAACCCTGGGCTGGAATGAGAGCTCCCAGGAGGAGCAGAGACATTGGGAAGAAAGGGAGTCTCCAGAAAATATCTGAGATCGATAAAATTAAGAATACCAAAATGAACATGAATATTTGTACTACACTATTTCACATGTGCCGTGTGGAAGATCTGGTAGCGTCTTAAGCTTACGGGACGTGAGGTTTCTTTAAGTCATACAATAATTGTTCTCTCTTTCCCCGTAGGTTCGACCCAAGCCTGTGGCCCAGAATAACATTCCTATTGCCCCAGCACCTCCTCCCATGCTTGCAGCTCCTCAACTTATCCAGAGGCCCGTCATGCTGACCAAGTTTACCCCCACGACCCTCCCTACCTCCCAGAATTCCATCCACCCCGTCCGTGTCGTCAATGGGCAGACTGCAACCATAGCCAAAACCTTCCCCATGGCCCAGCTCACCAGCATTGTGATAGCTACTCCAGGGACCAGACTCGCTGGACCTCAGACTGTACAGCTTAGCAAGCCAAGCCTTGAAAAACAGGTACATGCAGAGTATATACCTGCTCTGGGCAGTGCCTTCCCAGGAGGCAGGGCTACCTCTAGACACGTGTTCTCAAAAGCTCTTTATCTCTGTTTCATTGTGGGTAACCTGTTGCTGGTTATGGGATAACTTCCTCTTGGTGCTATAAAGGGCCATGCTTACCAAAGAAAGTTGACATGCTTTTCCCACCCTCCATGATCCGGTGTGTTCGGATTCCTGTGTGAGTGAGCGCCCTCTGCTGGTTATGAAGCCGCAATTCACAGATGGAAACACAGATGAGGTAGTAAATAGAAAATGCCATTTTAGTTCCTGCCCAATGAGAATGCAGATGAGGATAGGACTGTGAAGGCCACGAAGAAGAAACAAAACAAGGAATGAGATTTAATTTCAAATACTTCCCCCGGTTATTACAGATAATGAAGAGTCAAATGAAAAATGTAAAAATTTCTAAAAAGCATTTCTGTAACTCCAGGGATGCCGACATAAAAAAAATTTATTTTTTTTTTCTTTACAGAATGAGGCTAGATATTGGAGAGAAGGCTTTAAGGGACTGGAGCACATGATTTGCATTTTGAAGCTCCAGGTTTGATCCCAAGCATCACATGGTTCCACGAGCACTGCCTGGTGTGGTCCCACCACAATGCTCCCCGACCCCTAGCAACCAACCCTTCCCCACCCCTCCCAAAAAAAAGAAAAGGAAGCTAGACCAGGAATATAGCTGTGAAGTTCAGTAGGAGAGACACTACATCTTTAGGGCCCAGGTTTGATCCATGTCACCCATTATTTTTTCAATAAATAAAAGAGACCATGAATATGTTGCTGCATGGCACAGCACAGGACTCCCAAAACAATCTGGGTGTGATCCCTGCCACCTAAAAATTTAATAAAAAATGAAAAAAAAATATTTTTAATGAGGCTAGAGAAGCACAGGGAACCTCCTAACCTAGTTAATGGTCTTCTGAAAAAACTAACAAACAAAAAAAAGGATTTATAGGTAGTTGGCTATATTCTATTTAAAGAAAAAAATCAGCGGTGAGAAAGGATTTCTTTTAAGTACCTCTTTCAAGAAAGTTGCTTTAAAAAAAAATTCATCGACCTCTATATAATTGCTCAGACTTAAGTTCTTATTCATCTGAAAATAGTCTCTGGTGGTTGTGAAACCTCTGCTTCTGCATGGACTGGCCAGATGTGGGGGAGGAGGCCTCCTGCTACCTTGGCCTCAGCAGAAGAGCATTTTTGCATGGCTGACCCAGGCAGCTCAGAAGGCAGCGGTCCTCACTCCGAACAGCTGGGGTTGAAAATCTGCTGCTCAGAAATCACAGGGAAAGAGTGGAGTGATAGGACAGCAGGGAGGGTGTTTGCCTTGCACGCGGCCAACGTGGGTTCGATCCCCGGAATCCCATATGGTCCTCCGAGCACCGCCAGGAGTAATTCTGTGTTGCTAGAGAGACCGCTGAAACCCTGGGAATCGTTTGGACAAACACTCAGAGATATGCAATGTATATGCGTTTTAGATCGAACATTTCCATATTCGCCAAATTGCAATAGCATGCATGAAAGTTGAAATGCTCACAGACCAGAGACATAGCACAAGGCAAGGCACTTGCCTTGCACCCATCTGACCCAAGTTTGATCCCCTGCACCCCATATTGGTCCCTGATCATCACGAGGAATAATCCCTGAGAACAGTGCCAGAAGTAACCCCTGAGCATTGCCAGGTGTAGCCCAAACACAAAAAAGAGAAAAAAAAAATGAAATGTTCAGGTTTAAGTGCTTAGTGTGATGGTGTTTGGAGAGTTTCGGCCCTCCTGACCTCAGGAGTGGGTTTAGCACTAGTCTAGGGGCTGGATTTGCCTTGTACGTGGCCATCCCAGGTTTGATTCCCAGCAACCCATATAGTCCCCCGAGCACCGCCAGGGGTAATTCCTGAGTGCAGAGCCAGGAGTAATCCCTGAGCATCACTGGGTATGACCCAGAAAGCAAAGGGAAAAAAAATAAATAAAATAAATAAATATAAAATAGCACTAGTCTACACAAGACAACTAAATGTTATTTCTCTTTAACTTAATTCTTACTGAATAGCCTTTGAAAGGCAAATTTTTTAAGTTTCATCTTATTTTTACATCTCTTTCTTTTCCCAGTTTTTGGGCCACACCCACAGTGCTCAGGGCTTAGTAGTGGCTCTGGGCTCAGGGATTACTCCTGTTGGTGCTCAGGGGACGGTATGGGGTGCTAGGGTTCAAACCAGGTCAGCCATATGCAAGGCAGGCTGCTCTATCACTCGAGCCCCACATCTCTTATTTTTTAGGATTACAAAGACAATATATTTATTATAAAAATTAGGACATTAGGGGCTAGAGCGATAGTACAACAAGTAGGGCGTTTACCTTAAACACAGCCGATCTGGGTTCAATCCTTAGCATCCCATATGTTTCCCTGAGCACTGCCAGGAGTGGTTCCTGAGTGCAGAGACAGGAGTAACCACTAAACATTGCAAAGTGTGACCCAAAAAGCAAAATAAATAAATAAAAATTCAGACGTTAGAAATACATATTGTGGAAAGTCTTTTCTCACCCCCCCCAATAGTTTGTTTTTTTTTTGTTTTTTGTTCTTTTTTTTTTTTTCGCTTTTTGGGTCACACCTGGCAATGCACAGGGGTTACTCATGGCTCTGCACTCAGGAGTTACTCCTGGCAGTGCTCAGGGGACCATATGGGATGCTGGGAATCGAACCCGGGTTGGCCGCGTGCAAGGCAAACACCCTACCCGCTGTGCTATCTCTCCAGCCCCCCCCCCCATAATGTTTGACCACATTAAATTTCCTTCTTAACTAAAATTTGACCTTCAAAAGTGGCTATGAACAGTTTAGCTACAGTTATCCACAGATTCCTTTCTTTTTCCCCTGTGAGAACAGGATCTCAGAAACTGTACCAGGGAGCCCTCAGGCTAGTGATTCAGTGCAAAGGTCATACACTGATCGAATTTCCTGGACCACCCCTGGGGGCTCCCAGCTTGCAGGACCGCATCCAGCTGTGCTGGTAGATGCTGCAGTGCTGGAATGGATGTGGGCTTGGTCACTTGTAATGCTGTGCCTTAACTCCTCTGCGAACTCTCTAGCCTTCCATACTAACATAGAGAAAAATCAAAATCAGACTTCATCTATTTTATTTTCTAATTTTGCTTTTTTCTTATTCTTAACTAACACATGAAAATCTTTATATATAAATCTTTACATATGTATAAAAATTTTCATGTATATCTTTTTATATATTCCCGTCTCACATGTTGATTTTGATTATAGTAACATAAAGGTATCCATGATTTCTAAAAATTATCCTTAAAAGTTCTTTTGAAGGGGGCTGGAGTGATTGCACAGCGGATAGGGCGTTTGCCTTGCATGCAGCCAACATGGCAAATACAAGTTCGATTCCCAGCATCCCATATGGTCCCCCGAGCACCGCCAGGAGTGATTCCTGAGTGCATGAGCCAGGAGTAACCCCTGAGCATCGCCGGGTGTGACCCAAAAAGCAAAAAAAAAAAGTTCTTTTGACGCATAAGTCCCTTGGTTTCTTCTGTTGTTGGTGTGGTAGAGTCCCGCCCTGGTCATTCACATCCACTAGGTTCCCTGGCATGGTCCTTCAGATTCCCAAGCTCAGCTCACAGTGGTTCTCCTAGACCATCGTTTAGGTCTTTCCACTGTGCCCCTTTTTATTTTCTAATGTTTCATTCCCACCATCACGCTTAGAGGCCTGAAGATGGACTAAGAGAAAAACTGGGACGCTCGTGACATGGGTCACCACAGAAGTGCCACTTACAGCCTGCTCCTAAGATTATCAAAACCCATGTCCAACCTTTTCTGTGTGCCGAGGAAATTGGGCTTCGAAATGGGCTTCTTTCTCCTTTTCACTTTTTCCCTCCAGGTGGTAACATTCATTCAGTACAAATCAGTTAGATACCAGCTGCTGTGCGCATGTGATGCAGAAGTATTAGGGTGAGAAATCAAAGTCTGTTCCCCTCTGAGCTCCATCTCTAGAGTTTGGAATGGGCATCGAGGCCTCCAGGGGAAAAAGGAAGCATGGCTTTTTGCAGGCCTCTCTCACTGCACCGGCCATGTCTGTCACCGCTGTTGTGGTCTCATGTCTCCTCCCCCTGTCGGGCATCCTTCGTGCCTTCTTCCACCCCAGAGAAGAGATCTTCAGTCTGCGCCCTTTGTAGGAGCCACGTTATGTTGTGGCTCCAAGGAAATGAGAGTTTGAAGATCGGTGAAGCGAAAAGCACATTTCCAGCAACAAATCAGATAAAGCCCAATAAACCACCACATTTGTCCCCAAGACAAAACCACATAGAAAAGGCCGAGGTTCTGTGGGGAAAATGGCCAGATTTCCATGCGGTTATCTACTCCTACATTTGTTTTGTATTGAAACTGTCATGATACCTTCTTTGGGGAAAAAAAGGAGTTAGTTCCAGGTTGAGAGTATTGTCCCATGTACTAGCCCCAAATCCTAGTTGCCCTCTAGTATCCTTACGCATCTCCTTGCCTGCCTTTTTGGTGCCGATGCCAGAGCAATAGTCCCATTGGCGAAACACTGGAGTTTGCTTTTTTATTCATTTGAGATGTATTTAACTTTCACTGATCTTCTTTGAAAATTCTCTTTGAACTTGGCAATTGCCTAACTTGGATTATTCACATAGCTCAGTCTCAGAAGGGGATATGGAATTCAGGATATGAAAAGTTCGTTTTGTTGTTGTTGTTGTTATTGTCGTTGTTTCCTTTTTTGGTTTGGGGGCCACACCCAGCAGTGTTCAGGGTCTGGTCCCAGCTCCCTGCTCAGGAAGTCAGAACAGTGCCAGGGATCAAACTTGGGCCTCCTGCATGCAAAACAAACCTTCAGTCCTTTGGATTCTCTCTGGCTTCTCATTTAGTGCTATTCTTGTTCAGAATCTGCTTTCTGTCTTTATAATGCAAAAGAAAAAAAAAAACAGAACTTGAAAAGTCCAATT